GGGGGAGGAAGCGTTTAAGAACTAGAGGAAGGTTGTGGGTTTCATTATTGCTATACTGAACCCTAAGTGACTCATCTCCCCACTACCCCTCTGCAGGGTATGTCCGAGACTGGCATAAATTTAAAAACATAAAGTGTTTATGGATTGAAAGACATAGCGTTGTAAAAATGTCCATACCACCTAAAGATATCTGTAGCTATAGAGCAAATCTGATCTAAATACCGACAACATTGTTTAAAGAAATGGAAATTTTCATACAAAACTTTATATGAACAGTAGAGGTCCCAAATAGCTAAAGAATTGTTAAAGAACAAACACAAAAATCCAACAAAACTAACTTGATAATTCATTCAATGGAGAAGAGATAATTTTGTTAACTAATGTTACTGGCAAAACTAGTCATCGATTATCCAAAAAATAAAATAGAACCTATACCTCACACCATACACATACACTAGCTCAAGATGGATGGCTCAAAAATCTAAATGTTAATCCAGAAACTATAAAGTTCCTTGAAAATGAGATAAGGGTTCTAATTTCTGGCATTACCCTTTAATAAACATAACTGAAAATGTACAAACAAGAGAGGATAAACTAGATACCTAGGACCTCCTAAAACTTAGCTGCATATACTTATCAAAGACTTTACCAAAAGAGAAAAAAGAGAGCATATATTCTGGAGGAACAAATTGGCAATGACATGTTTGACATGGGGTTTCTTTAAAATATATAGAAAAAGTTAATACCTCAGCAACAAGAAGACAAATTATTCGATTATAAAATGGGAAACAGACTCAAACAGATATTTTACTAAAGTATCTTATTCAGGCTGCTAATAAACTCATGATCATTAGCTATTAAAGAGATGCAAATCAAAACTAATCAAAGCATTCTCACTGCCATTGAGTCAATTCCAACTCTCAGCGGCCCTGTCAGATAGAGTAGAACTGGCCCTGGGGGTTTCCAAAACTGTAAATCTTTGTGGGAGTAGAAATCCTCATTTTATAACATTTTCTTTCTTGTAATCCTTGTTATTCGCTCCCCATTTCCCCCAAAGTCCCCTGCCATCCCCCTAAGAAACCATTTATGATCTCTAGATTCAACCATCCTTGGTTTTATATGTATTAAAAAAAGACATTAAAAATAAAGAAATGAAAAAAATCTAACAACAATAACAATAACAAGATAAAATAGGGAAAAACCTAAAAGAAAGCAGAAATATTAAAACCTAAAGCAATTTAAAAATGGGTCAAAAGGTGTTAAATTTTAACCTATACATCCTTGTCAGTGGATCCCTTCTTTGATGCATGTTGGACCTGATCTAGTTTTCAACATTTTCTCTGTGTGTGTGTGTTCATATTGGGGTTTTTCACAGGTATATTTTGTTATTGGGGCAACCCTCTTTAGTTTTTGCTATGTTTTTCAGTATCTGAAACCCAGGATTGATGAACCCATAGAGACAGCAAGCAGAATAAGGGCTCCTGGGGGATCGGGGAGGTGGGACGATAAAGGGGGAGTTGGTATCAAAGAGTTTAAGAAGGAAGAGAATGTTGTA